CACATCGCTATCCACCAGACCATCCGACGCTGCTGGCAGCGTAACCGTGGAGAGCCTATATGAAACTTCTCGGCACCTTTCAACATGTGGCCCCCTTTTTTGGCTACCTTCCACGTTATTTTCGATGCGCAGCCAACTGGCGCCTTCTACTGTACGGACAGTCGACGCCATGAATGAAACAAACGACGCTGAGTGGGTTAAAACGGCGATTTCTGACAAAATCGTTTTTAGTCGTTTTTTGGCATTCAGAAGGCCATTTAGCGGAAATGGGCCATAGTTTTATACTCAGTGCTCATGCCCCTATACCATGCAGAAAACCATTTTCAAAAAGCGTCCCACGCCCTGAAAGACCTTCATTGTAAGTGGTGTGGTCAGCTATGACTATCCATCAGTCGTTCTGCCAAAGGATTTCATTATTCCATTAACTGTGTACTTTAAAACAACGTATAATATAAGTTCAATTGATTGTATACCCTTTGCACTCTTTGCATCGACTTCCTACAAATGCTTCTATCGTTCCTGAAGCCTCGATGACAAAGACTCTACCGTAGACTATGTATTTGCGATCCACTTGGATAGGTTGCGAAAAATTGGAAGCCTTTGATGAGAATTTTGTTAGCTGGACCTTTCGGATTATTTCTCTTATTCAGCTCCAAACGCGTGTTGATTTCAATCAATCAGAAGACTCGCACTTTATGACCTTTGTGATGGTGGGTGGCCTTCTCGTATTCTGCCTGTACCTGTTGCACTACAACAAGAAGAAGATTCTTGGTAAGTTCAGTTCTGCTTCGAACTCAAGGATAAAACGCTGACCCATTGTCCTCGTAAACTCAAATGCTAGAGAAGCACTAATTCCATTGTAAGAGGTGAGGCAACCTTCCCTACTCAGTATGGTTCGATTAATGGAACCTTTCTGCCCGTTAGTACGACTCTTATCAGTGAGCTGTTCAAATATGAAGAGGTGCCCTAATGTAAGTGTGAGCTAGAGCTTTACAATGTCAAATAGTAAACCCATTCTGATCCACCATTAACGAAGAAGTCGGTGGGCCTCTACAAAGTCTTAAGACTGAATAGATCTCTTCCAAGCGGTCCAAGAGAAATACAAAAGTTTTTAGTTAGTTCCGTTTTACTATTCTTGTCGCACTAGAATTATGGTATTTGCTAAATGGCTTCCTAAAATTCTTCTAGTTACCAGCCTATAGTGATTAATCGTGACGCCAAATTCCGCGATAACATTTTGCCCCTTGGCGGACAGCCTCTACGATAGAGATGATTAGATGGCGTAATTTCTTTCTGCTGTGAATAAGTCCGGGGCAAACAGGATTATTCCAGTGACCTATTGAATTCTCGATTTTCTCGTGCCTTCACTTTGAAACTGTCTTCATGGTGAAAGTTCAAAAAAATCTGCTACGCTTGTGCAGTATTCTCCCTCCATAACATCTTAGCTCATGTGTTCTCCCAGGTCTATTCGCTCCTTTCTACTCAGCTGTAGGTAATTGGATCGTTTAGGGGCAGCCATACGTATTACACCGCTACTCCGCATTTTTCAGTTTCTCACTACATATAGTTTAACCGAAAGATAAAATTTCGACTAAGTAGCTGTCTGACCATAACTGATCCTCGATATTATCACTACGAGATGGTGGATGAGTAGGAGGAACATCTCTCATGGAATACATCGAACAATTATTCGTTTTACAATGAGGAAAACCAAGTTCTAGTTAGCCCGTGGAGTTTATATGAAAACAAATCTGCCTCCATTAACCACTATTCTCTTAGACACTGCAGAGGTGTTTTCCTACCTTAATTCAAAATTTGATTTCTGATGTTTCGTGGCGTTAATCAATCCCATTTTGGGATGCGCCCTAGCTTCATTCAGAAATGTTTGTGTTGTTTTGGATGCGTATGTGGCCTAAGAATGGCTTGCTTTGGCCAGTCGATTTACGAGTCAATGTGTCTATCCTTCCAAGTGAGTCTGGTACCACCTGACCGACCCGGCAAGATGGAAGGTTCGATTATGTATTAGGGCGCCCGGGAAGTTTCTAAAAAAATTTCGCCTCTCATCTTTGAAGGCATGTTGCTAGCGAACGCGCTAGAGAAGGACTGTAGATTCGATAGCAGGTAAAGGGGCATTATTTATAGGTCAATACTATAACTAATCGGTAATCGGTGTGGTTGTTCGAAATAAGTAATCGTCGACCGAACGATGTGCCATCGGTACGATTACTGGAGCTTTCTGCTTCTCCATTACAAATTAATCGTCTCGAGACTCAGGCTTCGAATGAGATGTGGTGACTCATTGGCGCAGTGCTCCTCTTTTGTCACTTACCATAATTGGCACGATCGCTTTTCTGAGAGGAGATTTGCTTCGACGGAGTCTGTCGAAGCGAACGTCCACTCTCCTCTAACACCGACACTGTTCTGGTCTCCCGTCAGAGCGATCCTCCTCAAAGTCTCAAAAGTTTGATAAACAATGCCTACATTCTATCATGCATGACGTTCTACGCAAAAGTCGCTTTCAAGGCAAGACTCTTTGCAAATATCCCCGCAGGAGCGCGAGTGCGAGTTAGTGTGAGTCGGAGGCTCCTTGACTGTAAGCGAACTACGTCATAAACCAACTTCACCACTGCTCAAGATAAGAAGTAGATGTCATATGAAATCCGCGCAGGGAATCGCAATCCTTACCAGCGGACGTAAGGCCGCAGCCCACTATAAAGCGAGGCGCTCACGCCAAGAAAAGCAGGAGCTTATTCTTCCTTTGCTTAACAGGGTGTTTTACTAGGAAAACCTGCCACAATATACGCAAGAGTACCCTGTTATCGGTTGCCGACTGTGAGAGATAGTGTTTCGAGCTCCCATTTCACACCGATTCCAAGCAATTTCTGGTTGCTATGGATGATGCCCGATCACCTCGCGCGCGGACGTCGATGGATGAGTTGGAAAGACTACCCCGTTTACGACATTTATTTGACCACAGCTCATAAGGGTACCATACTCAGAATCTTATAGGATTGCTCTACAAAAAAATTCTCCAACTGTCGGGAAGTCAAGTAGGTGGTAGATGAGTGAATTGCGGAACGCCTCTCTTCAAATTGGAGGAATGGCATCGATGCCCCGTTCGGTTGATGGAGAGACGTTGTAGCTAAGAAGAGCCACTATCTTGATCATCGGTCTAAGTTTGTTGCTGTTTCATTTTGTGCTGAAAAAACCGGCTGAATTTTCTCAAAACTGTCCGGACACCCTAATATTAGGGTGTCCCAAAAGTTTTGAGAAAATTTATTTGGTTTGTTCAACACAAAAATACTACAACAAAAGGTGAGATCAGTAATCGAGATAGTGGCCCTCTTTAGCCACGACGTCCCTCCATCGACTGGGCAGAGCACTGATGCCATTCATCCAGAAAGAAGAAGGGCGTGAAGCGATCCATTCATCCACTGCATGTTTGACTTCCTGACGATTGTTGTATTTTTTCCCTTTCGTGTAGGCCTCCAGGCTTCTGAAAGCATGGTAGTCACAAGGACTAAGATCAGGTGAATATGGGGGTGGGGCAGCCAGGTAATCCCAAGCCTTTCATGTGGTCGAGCGTGACTCATCAAAATCAGAAACTTTCCCTGCATTAGGTGTGAAACCGGGGCTCCAGACACCATCTCCCGCAGCTGCTCGCAGAATACCCTTACAGTCACAGCAGTACCCTCAGGTAGGATCTCATAGTAGAAAAAGCCGGCGGAGCATAAGAAGAATGAGATCGTATTCTTTTCGACGTGTTCCCCACGCTTGGCAACGGCTTCTGGCCTTATGACGATTGGTAGCCNCCCGACGCTCGCTCTCAGTCAAGGTGTGGGGGATGATTGCAAGAATTGCTGCGCGAAAGCGACGTCTGCGTAGGATGTCGTGGGTGGTGGAACGGGGAGCAGAAGTCGTCCTCTCCATTCCTCTCAAGCTTTGAGAAGGATTTCTTTGGACGGAGGCTAAGACAATTTCGGTCTTGGTGGAACGTGGACGTCCGCTTCGTGGCACTTCGTCGAAGTGAATCTCTCTCTAGAGAAGCGGCCGTACCACCTATAGCAGGTGGCGAGGGATGGTGCAGTGCTGCCCATCGATGACTGCAATTCATTCCGCTCTTGAGTGGCGGAGTGACCAGATCGGTAGTAATGAAGCAGAAGGCGCCTGTAGTCGTGTCAGTCGAAAATAATTCAAATGTTGATAACTCACTTCCAAAGATAAAATGCAATACTTTCTCTTGTTATGATGATCTGCTAAGCGTGACCTCTTACTGACCTTTTCTCCGTGGCTCTGCCTCGGCGCTTTCTTGCGCAGCATGGTTGCGAAATACATGACCAAAATTTTCTCAAAACTTTTGGGACACCCTAATAGCTTGAGCAGCTATCAATTCATGCCTCTTTCCTCGAACCACGCTTGTGGAAATGCACGCCACTTACCACAACATCACACCGCTCGATAACTTCGAAGGATAAAGTCTTTTGGCATTGATTAATTCCGTCTGATGAGTGTCCTCCGCGTTCCGCTTCAATTCAGAATCGTGGTGGCGATCGTGTTGCGTGTGTGGCCCATAATTTCGGTGGCAAAGAGGTGTGCTAGTCGGTGCTTTTATCTTCTCAGATGAGAATGGTACCATGATCCCGGAGAAATGGAAGTTTGGTTGGTATAATAGAGGATTTCATGTCAGACAGATATACAGAGAGACAGACGGATTATATGCAGTAAGTAATTGGTAATGGTAATAATTTTGGTAACTGTTCTTGTGAGTTCAAAAGTAAATGCTCAAATAGGTAGGCGCGCTTGTGTCGACCACGATTACCGTAATCATCAGGTTAGCACGCATGATGGAATGAGTTCGTAGCCAGACGTGAACCGATGTTTCAGCAGCACCGATTAAGCCTTTTATGAAGCGTAGGTGCCCCTGTTCTCAGTTTCTCAACAAAGGTTTTGTTTTCAGGGCTAGTTTTTGAAGGAAGGGCTCCAGGTCGTCATCGAAGAAACGTACGCTACAGGAGATTGTCTCAGCGAGATGAGCACGACAGGGAAGACGTCATTTATTAATTCGACTTTATCTTTTTGCATTCTGTAAATGCTTTTAACTAATTCCACATTAAGGATTATCATAGCCCTTTAAAAGCTTTGAAATGAACTTGCGAACTTCTTTTCATGCGCTAGGTATCATTGGGAACAGTATCAGTACTTTACTGCATATTAGAAGCTCCTGGAGTCTCATTACGTATTGCGCTTTAGTTTATACTTATTTTTTGTTTGATAACTTTTGTGTATTCCGCGATACTGAAGAATTCTATGGTTGAGTTTATAATGAGAAAGAAGGGAAATTAGGTCGCCATGGCTCTCTCTGAATTCAGAGAGTTTTGAATGAGATTATGCTTTTTTGTATTATGCAAAGCAGGAGAGCTTAGGAAGGCTTATAGTTTCGTTTGGCAAGTTAGGAAAGAGGATGTGGGATCACAGTGCCAAAAGGCAGTAGACATATATTTATTCAACGGCCATTGCGATCTGGGATCCTTCCTTTCTGAGACATGTTACGGTTCATAATTGAAGAACTACTTGTGTGCTCTTCCGCATGTTTTGTGCCTTGGACATTAAATCTCCATGTTCTGTGATGGTTACATATTTAGCAGTGAGAGATATGTACTGTGCAATAATAAAGTTTTTCGTAAATTTTCATACTTTATAAAATAAGTTTTATGAAGAAATTCTGCAAGGCGCTGCGCCGATCGCCCACCAGGATGAGTCGCAAAGGTCATTGAAAAAATCAGCTTTGACAGTATGATTTCTCTCTGATGAAGGTTTACAAGTCACTCAAATCTTGGCCAGTTGTGTCCTGTAGTAGTGAAAGTCTTGATCGCAGTGGAATCGCTCATTTAGATTAGAGAACACTAGCGCTAGTCCCGTCACGGATTGTAGACGCTGTGGCACGCTTTTGGTGGAATGGAAGTGTCTTCATATTTCATATTCACAGGTAAAGTTGAAAGCAGCATCTTTCCCATGGAATTTCGATGTTAAATTCACAGTTCACGTTAATTTCGAGGTACTACTTTCAAGTTGAAAAGGGGAAGAGTTGATGTAGTGTAGTGCATTGGTGGCAAAGAAAGCGAGAAAACCTGCCTACTTCGCGAAAAATAAGGCTTTTCGAAATTAGTGGAAGGAGAGGTACGAGATTATCGCGACGGAAATGACATGGAAGGGATATTCGGGCGAAATTTCATATGAGACACTTGCGGAAAGAGCCGACTACATCAAGTAAAAATTGTCTAAAAGTGCTTTCCAATGTCACCATGAGTCATGGCAAGTTGTTAGAACTTCCTACGTAGTCTCTTGAGATAAATAGTCCCTTGAGATAGTGCAGCCCTCTACAACACCGTTGAGACTCGTCCGGTGTGGGTGTGGTACGCACTATACGATGTCTGAACCCTTATTGTGCCTTATCCAGGACGTTTCTCGACCTGGCATCGGCATATATGGTATCAGAAGGGGCCTCAAATTCATCTTATAGGGAGATTTCAGGAATAATTTTTTCGTGAACTGTGCCTTTAAGTGGGATCAACATGTTGGAGTTCTCGCTCTAGTAATGTTCTCAGGTCTCGCTTTTTACTAGAATCTCCCTCCTGACTCTTCACATAGCCACTGTTACGTTTGGCACGCTTTCATGAAGGTTTATACTTCATGACAGTCCGAATAATATGTAGGACTCCGGAATACCTACGCCTTCCATTCGAGTTAGATGTTGAGGATGGCTACTCTCTTGATATGAATGAAACAGCCAAACATATTTATTTTATTGCGACAATTGTGCGACGGGCACAGTATATATTGAGCATAGAATATATTTGAAAGCACAAAAAAACTAACTGGGAACATAAACTGGCAAGTGGAAGCTTGAAACTACCTGATTTCTCTAAATTACGATCATATACCAGATACGACCATTCTAGCATCAACGAATATAATTTCAATAAGTTAAATAAGTCACGTTTCAAATGATCACAGGTAATAATCCATGTGAATTAGGGTGCATTGGGCGTGGCATTTGATGCTACAGAAAGTCTGTCGCGTGGCGAATGGGGACAGCTGGCACATCTTGACCATTTTTTTCTCATTAAGGTGCGACTTTTACATGGGACGGGATAAGTAATTTTTGTCAGAGACTTTTTTCGAAGGTAACTTCCTCCGAGTCTGAAATCATCCCAAAACACTGGCGATAGCAACCCATAATGATCAACAGTCAGATAACAATCAAGAACAACAATCAATTCATTTAATCGCATTCCAAAATACTTCGAAGCAGGCCGCACCTGTTTCAATAAATCAATAAATAAAAGTAGGGAAAATGGGTGTGGCCCCGCTTTCTCAATTGTCTCATACGTCTTGCTATGGACTTTCTGAAACTCATCGTTCCCTGATGCCCTCACAGTTGTGGTGTTTCGTGAGCTGTTTCGACGCCGGCTATGTATTCGGTTGTATTAGTAGGTTATTTGGCACGTCGCAGCACGCGTGGGCTAAAATATCCGCCACCCGTAAAATAGTACTCCCGGTCATGGCTCATTGATAAAATTATTCCAGAGGCACGTTCTGCAATTAGGTATGTTGGTCGAACACTCTAAGGAAATAAGTTAGCACTGTCCTTAGGTGCAGGGGCCGTGACTTGGAAAACACAGATAAAGAGTCTCGCCCTTGGTATCCCATAACGCATTCCCTTTAACAATTTTGGATGCATTTACGATAGCTTTACATAGGATTGGACTGAAAATGCAGTTTCTAGAGATGCATCGACAGACGAGGATAGAATACCTTTGAATTGATTGTGATATCACCAACGAAAGTTTGCCTCAACGAGCTTATTTTGCTACCCCCCCTGGAGTAATGGAGATGATCGTTTTTGAAAGGGACTTGACTCTGCTATTCCTGAAGATTCACTTTCTTTCTTCTTCATGGAGAAATTGCTTATCACCTCTGCACCTATTCACTTAGAGTGCTCCTAATTACCGTCCTCAATCACGTAACGTCCCTCTGAAAAGCTGTCATATTTAAAGCAGGCAGGTAATCCGATCTCATGACGAGGGATAGTTCCTATGAATACTTCCATCAAAATGTTCGAGAATCCAATTAGACAACTCTTACAGATATCACAGGGCTCTTCGGTAACAGCTTTTACTTTTTAAAGAGAAGTTGTCGATTCCACATGCACCACGCCGATAGCCGAAGTTCAGGCATTCGAAGGTCACCTGGAAATATTCGCGTCTTTTCGAAATGTAATCTTTACTGTCATGAACTAATTTCTACAGTTTTCAGACAGTTTTTTCTTCCCTCTGCGTCTAAGAGAGAGGTGGTTTGATTTGCCCATCACATGTGACAAGTCTATGTATTAACATTTACAAAAAGGCCAACACCAACTGCAATAGTTCCAATCTGTTACACATATTTGTTATACACATATACTTATTTTGTCACTGGCCCGATCTCCAACATTGGATGTTAGCGAGCAATCAACGCTGAGCATGAGGAGAAAGGTGCACGTTGAACCACCGTAACGGAGATGTGTCAGGAGGGCAGTCAATGGATCAATGTTTCGATCTACGATTATCGATGATCTATTGCAGAATTTGCGCGAGAAAAGAGAGGGCGGAACTAACACTCCAATAGAGTCAGTCGCAATTTCGTAATCCGGAAGCCCGCCGCTATTCGCGTAGGAGAAGGACTACCAACAGATTCGCCCTCGCGAATCAACCCCTAGACCCCCTTCCTCATCTTTTCGCCTTACTTGCGCTTAACCTCTATTATCGTCGATCATTTGCTGTCTTGCCATTTTTTGTCATTAGTTACGTTGTTTATTTTTTTTTTGGATCTCCATATTACCTCGGCATCTTTACCTCATTGTTTTTTTGTGTTACCGTTCTCTTCCGGTTTTGTTTTGTTGCGGTCGCCCTGATTATTCGCGTTGTAGGTTGCAACGTATGAAAGAATTGCATAAATAAAGAAACAGGTACAGGAGAATTATCAAGATCTTTTGCCGTGAATCGAACTTTTGTACGATCCCACTTAATTGAATTCGGAATTCACCTAGGCTCGAACAGACCTGTATTAGATGCGAAGACTCTATGGCCATTATGCTACCTGCATATCGTTATTAACCCACTTGAAGGGTGATGATGAGATGAATGTCGATAAAAATTTGAGAGCTAAAGCTCTAATGAGAATCAGGTTTTTAAACACACAAACTGTAACATCACAGGTTGCACAAGTGTTATTTTGGTTCAGAACAAATAAAGTCACTGGATTTCTGGTCGAAATTTTCGTTGAATAAAGAAAAGCAGTTTAATTCCTTTAGAAAGTCCATATTTCGCACCAGGAATCCTGTAGATTAAGCGTAGATCCTGTATTTGTGCTTACTCATTTGTCCTCCCTTCATGAACGCCCTGGTGAGGAAAGTCAAACTGTTTTTCATCATTTTGAGGCAATTTTGTCCACAAATATGTACCGTTTCTCTGTTTGCACGAAATTGAAACTATTGAATCCAATAATTATGACCCCTTTTTTCGCCATCAGTGTGTGCCGATCTCGTGAAGTGCACTGCTATAAAGCACTTGAAAGAGTGACCAACGAGAAAAAGGGACTGAAAACGGGAACAAAGAAGTCCACAATCGGTGATACGGCTTGCATCATTGCACACTGTTCCAAAAATTTTGGTGCCGAAATTCAGAACTTTTAACGCAAAAGTAATTCATCACATTCACTTCACCCGCTGTTAATTTATTGCACAGGTAGGTTTTCTTGCAATGTGCAAGGAAACTGAAATGGAACTCCCAATATCTTCCATATGAAGGCTCTTTCAGCGCCACCTGTAATAATTGGCATGTGTGTGGTGGAAGAACATTATGAAATTCCTTGTGATTCCTATAGCATCCGTACAGAAGGCCATTAATCGGTACAGATAAGATTCAATCAAAGACAAACCAAGAAGAACCAAGGTAGAAAGGCCGTTGTTTGTAAAGATGAGACTATCAAATGGACCACTCGCGAGTCGATTGCGATCGGGGGTGATTCCTCAAGAAGATGGCATAGGAGTAGGGGTTATCGAGCCTGTCGGTGGGACGAACTGTCGAACAAAAATTTTATGGTCATTTCTATCGTATGCGAAAATATCGCTTCTTCTCGATGTCGACTGATAGAGAAAGATACAGAAGGTTGCTAGCTCATTTGAGATAATACACGCATTGCTCCATCGTTTCCTCTAGCCCCTAGCTAAAAAATTTTGACGAAAAAAAACCATTCCTCAGTAAATAAAACAATTTGCTTTCTGGCTACAAATATTCAACATGCAATCCCCCATTGAAGCTTTGCTCTCATAAATTAAAACACACCTTCTTTTTTAGTAGCCATCGACAAAAGAAAAAATTTATGAGCCAATGTAGGGCAGACACCCACCGTTCGTGTTGTTTTTGGACACTGTAGGGCGAGCCGTCGCCACGATCGCTCGCCTTTAAGAGATCCAGAATACGTGGTCAGAGGGCAAACGTCGTCGCAGCACACCCGCATTTGCATCTCTCGTGTGGCTTCCCAAGAATCGAAGGAAATAATGAACGGCTCAAGAGTGGAAGCCTGAAGCAATAAATACCAGGGCTTCGAGAGTTCTAGCGTTGAACGAAAATGTTTTTGAAAATGTTTCTTTCATCCAGAAAAAGCCTTCAGTGGATAATTCTACAAACCCCCTTTCAGCAAATAGTGCACAGAGCACTCGTAAGACCACCAAGGAAGTGTGATCTCACTGCCAACCGCGAATATCTCGGTGTGAGTGTGGGTGTGTGCATGTGTCTGCAAATTCATAACTCCTTACCCTGCGAGACTTGGTCGCTCAGATGCGGAAGGGACCCAGGTGGAGTAATGAGAACAACGACGATAGGTCTAGCAGTAAAAACAATTTATAAGGACTGCTAATGCGCCTAAGAGCGGTATGATCCATTACGTTCCTCGTAATAACAATGGAACACTGGAACACTGACACACTGACACTGGGGGGGGGGGGGGGGGGGGTGTGGGGGTGTAAAGAGATTGTCAATGGTTGGTAACAAGAACTGATAACAACTGATAGGGGCTGATGAAGAGCCACTGAAGGCAAGGTCACTGAGTCCCTGTACAGCGGAACCTTGACATCTAGGTAGGTACGTGGACTGATCGTTAGTTCTGGTAAGTGACCATAGAAGGCAAGAGCCACTGAGTCTGTAGAGCTCTCGGTTTGTTAGTGGAACCATGGGGCTGTGTGGCTTGTGAAAGAATCGTAGGTGAAAATTGAAGCAGCTAGAATTGTACAGAAAGCAAGAACCACTCAATCGGTATACTCCTTCAATTAATTCTGGAAGCTTAACTTGGAGAACTTTGAGAGTTATGTGGAATTCGTGGGAACATTGATGGTTGGTGACAAACATCGGAGCAACACTACTTCAGTTTGAAATATAAGATGTGATGGCTCGCAGATTGGATTACACGTGATAACAGTCGATAAGGGCTGATAAGCAATCTTACAAAATTTTAGTATGACCCACGACATTTTGATAAGTTCTATAGCGTAAGACGCGATGATAGAGCAGGCTGACAAAATCACGTGTTAAGTGCAGTAATGAGAGCTGGTCGAAGTCAGATATACGATAAAAGAGATTTGTTTCACTCCTTGTTCCTTTGGGTCCTTTGAACTTATGTAACGCACTCGCGTCTGTCTGTTTCTTTACTTGTTTGTTTGCTTGTCACGAAACCCGATATTACCTGTACAGGCGCCCTGATAGAACGGGCTTACTTTGGTATGGATTTGGCATAGGGTATGATCACTTGGGCACATGTGAGCAGAGCGGAGCTCCGCCCACGGGAGGTGGGACAGGTGTGGGCGGTGCCATAAGTGAAATTTCCTTTTTAAGTTTCAGGACCAAGCCTACTGTACCGAAGAGCACTTGAGAGCATCATTCATAGAAACATTCTGATTCATATTCTAATTAATAAATACATACTCGAGAACTTCCAGTTTTACAAATTTCAATCATGCGAGACGTTGATTCGCCGAGCAAAGCTAACAAATGATATCTTACTTCTCATTCAATAACTGAGACCTAGTCAGGCGCAAAAACCTGTGGTTGTACCTAGCAGGCCCCAACAACGCTCAGATAACGAACAATATCCTACTGTATATAAAGTAATAAATAAATCCTAGTAGATCTCACTCTTTCTGATGGATTGCTAAATTTTACTCATGATACCTGCATCGTCAATGTGGCCATCTGTTGAGCACGAAGAAGTGTTCCAGCAAAGTGCCGATTGGTAGACGAAAACACAGCTGAAATTGTTCTTCTTCTGATCCATTAATTTGCTTGAATAAAGCAAAATGTCATTGGTAGACGAAAACACAGCTAGAAGTAATCTTCTTCTTATCCATTAATTTATTTAAATACCGCAACATGTCTTTATTCTGTTTAACACAACTACAATAAGTGGAACTCCTGCAGCAGCGCGATATTAATTGAACGACTAGTTGAAGGATTGACTGCTGTGATGCATATCCACTCTCTGCTCCGCATCGGTCTCCAGAGCAAAACACAAAAGTTATCCAAACAATCAGAATGAACCGATCAGGTCAGACATTATTCCAAAGGAGTTTGATGGTGACCACGTGCAATACCAGGCAACATCAAAAAGCTAAACTTACGTGCTCGATCAACACGTAGAGACGATTTGTTGAATTTCCCTAACCAATTAGCCCAACGTTGAACTGAGAAGAAAGCTGTCGCGACTAGCTGAAGAATTTAAACGAATGAGTGTTCCTTCTCGACTATGTAACCTACTCTATTATCCTACTTTATATAATTCGCTAAGTATGTCTGTTGGTGTGACGGTGTGTGTGTGTGTGTCGGTGAGTGTGTTTGACTGGAAATTCATAACTCCTGTTCCCGTGGACCTAGAAAGCTCTTATTTGGGTGGAGTATAGGGGGCAGCATGGGGACACTCACGGCAGGTGGCAGGACCGGACTCCGCCCGCAGGGGGCGGGGCGTGCGCGATAGAAATTTTAGGTCGCAAATTCACAACTCCTGTTCCAGTGGACCCAAAGCGTTCGAATTTGGCAAAGGTACAGGGAGCAGCATGGGAACACTTATAATAGGTGGCAATCCGCTTAGAGAGGGCGGGGCGTGCGCGGTAGCAATTTTTGGTCGCAAATTCGTAACTAATGTTCCAGTGGACCCAAAGCCTTCAAAATTGGTAGAAGTACAGGGAGCGGCATGGAAACACTTATGGCAGGTAGCACGACCGGACTCCGCTCACGGGGGCGGGGCCTTCGCGATAGATATTTCAGGTCGCCAACTCTCTAGGTCCATGTAACTCCTGTTTATGTGGACCTAGAGAGTTTAAATTCGGTAGGAATACGGGGAAAAGGAGGGGAACACTCATGGCAGGTGGCAGGACCAGACTCAGCCTACAGGAGGCGGGGTTTGTGCTGAGTAAACAATTGAGCGGAAATTCGTAACTTCTGTTTCTGTGGACTTAGAGAGTTCAAATATGGTAAGATTACAACTTTTCGTATTAACAGTGGAACCTCGGCTTTTTAATAAGTGGTATAGGATATGACGGGATACCAGATACTCGGTGACAAGAACAGATAATAACTGATAAAAGAAGATAAGGGGCCTACGAGAGCAAGTGTCACCTGCCGATCGAAATCATAACGCCTTCGGTATTTACGATGTAGCTTTGGTTGTTCAGGATGTTCCATTCGATAATATCAGATGGTAGAGCAGGGTAACAAAAGGAGTGGTAAGTGCAGTTATAGGGACCCATTAACGGCACTACGATAAGCAGATTAGGATTTTGTTCATTTCTTGCTATTATATTACGACTGCTACATAGCAAAGTTTGTGACTTGATGAAGGATCCTTATTGTTTGATATCATTTGCGGTAAAATTAACCCACCGCCAGTTATTTGGAACTCTTACCTAATGTTATCTCTGTGAAGTAAAAGTTCATTGATAACATCTGATGATACCACCCAAGGCTTTGGTTACCTAATAGTTCAATCTTCATGGGGTATTTATCTTCAAGAACGAGAGCAAAAGATCAAGACTCCCAATTCAAGACATAAACACCGACTTTCACTGAAGACCAATACTCTGTTAGTCCTGCGTCAAACCTCGTGTACAGGAAAATATTATTTGCTTCGAAGAAGGGGTGGAGAGTTAGCCGATTACTAGAACTTTGTCAAAGAAGGTGGAAGCCCGGCGTTAGCCGGGTGAACCGACTTCACATAAGAGGGAAGATGCCTAATTATAATACAGAAAAAACCGCTCCCCATTCGGAAGCCCGTCGTTAGCCGGGCGGCCCGACTGGTCCTACGTATAATTCGATCAGTGTGTCTGTTAGTTTGACGGAGTGTGCGGGGCTGTGAGTGTGTGTTGTCGGTGTATGTATTTGACCGGAAATTCACAACTCATGTTTCAGTAGACCTGAAGCTTGGGATTCGGCAGGAGTACAAGCAGGATATAAACACTCATTACAGGTAGCACATACTCCACACACAGAGCGTATGCGCGATAGAAATTTCCGACCGCGAATTCATAACGCTTGTTTACGTGGGCCTAGAGGGTTGAAATTAAGGGGAAATACGAGCGGCATTCATGGCAGGTAACAGAGCGAAACTACGCTGACAAGAGGCGGGGCGTGCGCGACATAGACTTTCGGCCGCAAATTGATAACCCTTGTTTGCGTGGAATTGGAGCGTTCTAATTAAAGGCACTGTTCACAAAAAAGTGGTTCGGAGATTTGCGCATGGTTTGAATTCGAAGCCCCCTCTGGTACCATTCGTACAGGAATGAGGTCGGAAAACGGCTGGATAGGGCACAATAAGGGGCCGGAGAGATATCCACGGTCGCCCTCCGCCCCTTGATCGGTGTCACGTTAGACGAGTGTCGAGACAAAACAGATTGCTATTATTCGTTCTAGGACCCACGCACAAAAAGCTAACCGCCGTGTTATGAGGCGATGTTTTTCTCCCATTCTTCTTTCCTGTTTTTCTTTTTGCTGCCGCGATCCCTCATTTGATTTCCTACTCCTAGAGGCTGAAAAAGGTGAGCTACTTTTGCTGTTACTAAGGTTTTTTTGTTTATTTATGCTTATAAGTGAATGAATTGTGGATTACCATTGTCTGTTCTTCGCACCAGGACCCACACGCGCGCAGTGTAACGCACTGTTTAGCTCGTCCGGGCGCCCC